GATTTGGGGTTGTTTTGAGGATCAAATAGGAGGCATGGGAAGATGCTTTGAGAACTAAAAGGCTCAATGTGATGTAAGTTTTTAAAATCAGAAAGACTCTGAGGAGCGATGCAGCCACATTTTGGGAATGAGGAGGGATATGTTTGAAGCCTGCAGCCCAACTGGATTTAAAAGAAATTTACCAGGCACTTACTCTGCATTTAGCATGCTTTCCCTGGTGCCAAAGAGCTTGAGGTGGGGGTGAGAGTGATGGGAAGACAAGAAGCACACAAACAGAATGATTAAACAGCCATACACTGCACCATGCTTCTTTGAGTAAAGTTAACCTCTCTATGCCTGGGATTCCTTATTCACAACCTGGGGACCATGATAAGACCTGCCTCATAGAATTCTTGTGCAGATCAAAAGAGGGAGAATGGACAAGGCATTTAGCACAGTGCCTGGCACACAGAAAGCTCCAGAAATTTTATCTACTTTTTATAAGCCTATTTAAATTTCTCTCCTCAATAAAGGCAGTAAAGTCCTGATATTTTTTCCTCTCTATCAGCTTTAAGAAGAGTGGGTTTTTTCTGTCTCTAATAAGAGCCATGAAGGTTTCTGAACAGGAGTAGCTGCCCAAGATTAACCTGGCAGCAGTTTGGGGAGAGAATGGAGTGAGGTAAGGCAGTAGTTAAGAGGCCTATTAAGATGTTATTTTAATGATCCCCGAGAGGGAGGCATGGAAAATGTGATTGAGAAAGATGATAAATGATGAAGTCAGGGCTCAGAGAGGGTAAGAGGGGCTAGGACCAAGATTTCAGGACAGGGTGGTATACATCTACCACCCTTTCTGTCCATCTCCTCTCTGCGGACCAGAGCAGACAGCACCATGCGGTCATGGCAGTCTTTCCCACTGAGCAAGCACAGTAGGGGTCATTGCTACTGGCTCACACTTGGCACACTCCATGTGCCCTCTTTAGAGATGGAGGGGTTAGTCTGAGAAGGGAAGAGCAGGACTTTTTGGAAGTAGGAGCTAAGCAAGAGAGGGAGGGTAAACACACTGAGCAATCTGAAGATGGAAATGGCTGGATAATCTCAACTGCCTGTTCCGTTAGGAACTTGGCTTAGGATTTGAGCTCAAGGGATAGCCATGGGGTGGGAGCAGCTGAGGTGAGGAGCAAAGAGAAGATTTTGACCAGTCTCTGCAGAAAAATGTTGACAAATATTCTTTTCAGTGATTATTGCGAGCTAGGCACTCTGCTAGGTGCTTTGCTTGTCCTTTTTCATTTAATCCTTCCAGTAACTTTATGAAGTTAGTCATATTATTATGATTACTTCCATTTTGTAGATGAGGAAGCTGAGATTAAGTCACCCAAAATTACTTAGCTTGTAAAAGGTCAAACCAAGATTTGAAACATGGCAGCATGACTCTAGGGCCCAAGTGCTGTATGACTCTGGGGCCCAAGTGCTGTGCTGAACTGAGCATTTTGAATATATTAAGGAATCGAGAAGTAGATAAAACTCAAGGAAGGAGAAAGCGCAGTGGATTTTGCTTTCATACCCAGGACTTAATATTTATTTATCTAGTCTCAAAAATATGTTTTTATAGCAGTCAAAACTGAGGGAAACTGGAACCACTTCTTCTTCACCAACTAGGGACAGAAAGCTTTAAACCTGTCCCTGTTAGATAAGGAAAAAGAATAGTTCTGTATATGTCTGAGGGAGAACCAACTGTAAATGCGACAATGAAAAGTTGTCTTTTCAATAATAATCTTTTTGAAAGTTACCTGCTGATTGCCGACATATGGTAAGAACAAGAGAGTCCATTTGTGTATACGTATACGGAAACCTCTACGACGTTGTCTAGCCATTCTGCTAAAAACAGCTGGAAACTACACGAAGAATCATCTAACCAGGGAGCAGCGCAGCAATTGCTTAGAACGGTTTGGTTGTCATTTCTTGTGACTCATTCTTATTTTTTGCTTTCAAATTTCATTCTAATGAACCATTTAGTGGTCTTCATAGTGCAGCTTATTTATCCCTCATAGAACAGGAGGATTTTGTAATCAGATGTGATTTTTTTAATGCGTAAATGTGTCTGCTGTCCAAAAGCCACACACTACTGGGGCAGTATCATTCCACACCCACAGCTCCATTAAATAAGACAATTTACTGATGGACGGCGGCTTTCAAGAACATTCCCTTTCTATTCATCAGTGCCTAACATTCATGCACTCAAATGTGTATTTATTATATAGTTCATGCCTTTGAGGATTCATTTTTTTGTTTCATGTTTCTTATCAGTGTCAATTGTAATCAATTACCTGTATAAAATGATGGAAGAGTTAATTTATGACATGATGACACACAGTAGATAACAGCATTTCTATTTAGAATTGAACAGAACCCCTGTATTAGTTTTCTGCCTGTGCCAAGAAAAGGCTCTGGGGATAGAACCAAGATGAAAAAAGTATATTTTCTTTTTCTTAGCCTCTTTCCTAACTAGTTCAACTTTTAGAAATAACACTGGCTAGCCAATGAAAACACTTCTTTGATAACGCCTAAGAATTTAAGATAAAAAACAGCTGGGCAGGTTTTTTTACACAAAAGGAAACAACTTTGAACTACATAGACAATGTCGTTTAAACCCAAACAGATGTGGTTTAATCTTGTTTTTGATCCTCTTGTAGATTTTTCTCAAAACGCCTGCATATGCGTAGAAATGATGACTTTCAGATGTTTGAACATAATTTGTCTCTGTTAGAATATCACCTTGGTACATATATCATGTACACCAAATCCTCCCAGCCTTTGAACGTGGACAGCAGGGTACCAGGGAGAATTTATGTTGGTCTTTTGGTTTTGCCCACCAATTCCATAAGAAATTGAAAGGGGAGAAAAAAAGCAATGGTGTCCGCATACTGTCATTTCCAAAACAAGAGTCACATGTGTTCTCCATGACTTCACTAAATCATGCTGATGGTTTTAGATCCTAACACTTAGAAATGCTTTTAAGATGAATCATATCATGTGAATGCTCTAAAAATAACACACACGGTTCATTTGTGCACCATTCCGTGTCCCCACTGATTATTATCCACTTATCATATGATATCCTCATATATTAAGGTTTTCCCATCCTATTGCCAGAAGAAGAAACCACTGGAGCAAAACTATTTTCAAACATGAAATGTCTCAGTTAGACTGTAAAGGCAACGACTAAAATATACTCAGATCCACTTTCAACTTCAAAGGCCATTAAAGTTGTTACCTCAGGCATCAGCCAAAAGATGGAAGGGAGGCTTGTACAGATAGAAATTTTATATAGTTTCTTCCTTTTCTTCTCCCCTCCTCCCCCCAACTTGAATGAATATCATGAGGAAGGGAGTGGGGACAGTCTGTGAAACATGTGGAGAGACTTAAGGTCACTAGCAGGAATCGAAAGGAAAGAGAACTCTTGGGGCAGAGGGCACTAGGTACTTCACACCCAGCACCATCAAATGACCTTGGGGGAGCACATGGACAGCATTGCTCCAATTTATCCTTTCCTTCAAGACACCTCCTCCTTGGTTTCTACAATTTTCTCCATAGTCATATCCCTTGAGAGTATTTAAAAGACCACATCTGGAGAAGGAGGAAATGAGATGCATATATTTGTTGGCAAAATTTTGAAAAGAGTGTGTGTGGTATGTCATATGGGGGAAGTAAATAGAGGAGAGACGGGGGTGAGGTGGGCTGATGGGAGTGGTGGATTTGTGCTTGATCATTGGGAAATTAGCCCAATGGCTTCATCAAAACACAAAAGAAGGGCTCAATTTACAAGTGGTCAAACATTTTCTAGAACTCTGTTGGCTCTTTGGCAATAAACTGCTGTTCTGTGTAATATCTTACCCCATCGAAACCCTCCTTGGGGTGTAAGTGCAATGTGAGGTCATTCTGAGCCACAATCTCATCTACAACAATACTCTGGCATTATAGGCGAATGCTCATTATTTAAAAAATGCAGTTCTGTTTATACTGTTGGAGTCTCTAAGTCCTTTTCATTATCCATTCGTGCTGTCCGTCTGGATGTGTTTCCCGATCTTTGTGTGAGGAAGTTGCCCTTGCTCAACATGACTCAAAAAGAAAATATTAGACTCCGATGCCCTGTGTGTTGTCATGATTCCCATGCCAGGGGTTTCATGAATGATGTTTCCCACCGGGAATTATAGTAGCTGCCAAGTGATGCTGGAGGCGGGTGCTGGCCTGATTATAGAGCAGTGAGTCAGAGTTGCAGAGGCTTCGCGGAGATGCAACCGACTCCTGGGGAAGTGGGCAAGAGACTGAAGCAGGAACAGGGGAAAGAAGCATACCGCCTTCACCAAGGGTTGCTTGGGTCCTGAGCCAAGAGGAAGAGGAGCTAAAGACCACTGCAATTCCCTGCAGTGAATGGTTTTAGGAGTGGGAAAGGGAGAAGGGAGAATGAAGGTGTTGTATGTGACACGCTAGAAGGCAGTCGAAAAAGATGGAGAAAAGTCAGCAGATTTGGGAGCCACAGAACTGGGTTCTAGTACTGGCACTCATTCACTGTGTGACTGACAGATTATTTTCATTTTTCTTATATGCCTAGTGTAAAATAAGAAAGCTTGGATGTCTTCTAAAGATCCTTCCAACTCCGAAAATGTTCTGAGCATAGCAGTTCTTTGTCACTACTTAGGATGCTACGAACACATTTAACTTGTACTGTTTCAGCTACAGGCGTCGTAGAACAGAAATGGGGTCGAGGGGACAGAAGGGTAAAGGGAGATAAAGACCAAGACAGAACAAACACGTAACGGAAGCATTCTGGCCGCCTTCAAGTCAGTGCGGTCCTGCCAGTGTGACTTAGAAAAGACACAAATCTCCATCTCCTACATTTGGTCTCAGATGCCAGGAGCCTCCCAGCCTATGAGCACACTGCTGAGAAATGCTAGCATTTAAACAGACTAGTGCTAAACATTATAATGGCTTACATTTTTATTATTGTTTTTGGTACAACACAGGCTCTAATGCAAGCCAGGTACTTCATCTGATGCTCAACCAAAGAGTCGTGATGCTGTGATGCTGGAGGAAAACCTAGCTGGGTTAGGCTTGCAGAAAATGTCTTCCTGAAGAGTCTTCGAGGGTAATTCAAACTCTATGTGCTTGTGTGTGTGTGAGGAAGGCTGGCCCTGAGCTAACATCTGAACCAATTTTCTTCTATTTCATGTGGGATGCCACCACTGTGTGGCTTGATGAGCAGTGCTAGGTCCATGCCCGGGATCCAAACCCATGAACCCCAGACCACCAAAGTGGGGTATGCAAACCTAAGAAGTATGCCACCAGGCTGGCCCCAAACTCTATATGATATTTTGCCTCATGTGCTGACCTTAGGAATATGGCACTGCTCTACCTACTGCATACGCCTCTTGGCCTTGTGGGAATCTCTGTTGTACCTTGGGGAGCATAGTAAAGAGATGCTCCAAGAAGCGAAAAAATGGTGAGATCATTAAGTCCATCATCACCTTGGAGTCTGTGTGGAAGGTGATGACAACAACACAAATAACTAATTTGTTTTGAGTGCCTTCCATGTGCCAGGTACCATGTGGAATGTTTTACACATATTCTTTTCATTTACACAACAATCTCATGATTCATTCAACAGCTAACTCATTTTATTGCCCACCTACTAAATGCCAAAAGGTCTTCTAGACTCCAGGGAGATAGCAGCAAACAAAACCAAATAAAGCTTCTGCGCTCATAAGGTTGAATCCTGGAGGCTGTGGGAGATGATAAACAGATAAATATCTATGATGTCAGGTGGTGGTAAGCACATGAAGAAAAAGAAAGCAGGACGAGGGGATAGAGAATGCCAGAAAGAAAAGTGGGTGCTACTTAAACAGGGCGGTCAGGGAGCCCTCTCTGCTGAAGTCAAAGAAGCAAGAGAGAGAGAGCCAGGTGCCTGAGCAGAGAAAGCCACCATATTGCCTTTTCTGTAGATGTGGAGACTGAGCTTCTCAAGGTCTCTTCGTTAATAGGCTATGATGATCCCACTAGATTCCAGCGCAGCATCTGCTTCACATTATCAAGGATGCAGGTCGGAAGAGAGCTGTGACTACAAGAGGCCAGCAGGTCTGGCACTAAAAACTGCAGAGTCTTTTAAAAACACACCACTGCTTTGTCCGTACTGTGATCGATCGGGTTGGTTTCTCCCTACTCTACTGAATTAGCAGAATTGACAGGTCGCGTTGGTACTACAGAGAAGAGGTGTCCATTTTCCCAAATGTTTTCCCCTTATCTTAGCCATTGCTGAACCTCAGGCCATGAGCAAAGGGTCAATGAAGCGTGGTTTTCAGACAGTGTTCACAGAGTGACGGGGGTTCCTCTGTCACTGAGGCTTCAAGGACTTCTGTGGGAGATGACAGCGAGGGTCAGTGGTTAGAGCTCCAGGCCACCCACCCCTGCTTTAACCACAGCAGCAGTGAATTTATCTGTCTTATGTACTGGGGCTCTGAAAATGAGATTTCTGGGACCAGCACAAAGGTGGAAAAAGATATTAAAGCTCTGGCTCCTTGTGAGTAGTAAATAAAGACATTCTTGGAGCCATCTTAAAAATTTGGGTTTAAATGCAAGGTTTCTTGAAAAGTTCTCAGCGGAATTAAAACCCTAGTGGATAGTGTTAACGTTCTGAGAGATAACTGGTGTGTGTGAGTGTTCTATTGGATGAGAACACCATCTGATCTGAGGAACCGTTTGGCAACGCTGATCAAAGATTTGGAGAATGCACGGAGGGAGACCACTGTGTGTCTATCTTTTCTCTCTCCTCTTTCCTAATGCATATGGCATACTCTGTTTGCTCACACACAAACACACAAACACACATACACGTATGGATGGCCTGAGGTTTAATTTTTATTTTGGACAGTTTTTTTTTTTTTAAGATAAAAATCAGGTGAGGAGGGGCTTCTTCTACTCTAAACATTTCAGAAAATGCATAAAATTTCCATGGTAATATTAGAAGTCTCACCCATCAGTTGAATAAATAGAAGGAAGAACTGGAGAGAGATTTTGAAGGCCAGAGTTTGGTGTCTAATTCACAGTTGTTAGAAAGATCGTTTCCTCATGATTTCACTATTTGTTGCTGTTTGGTTAAAAAAATAAGGACTATCCAGGGCTTATAGATAGATGCCTCTGGCTGTGGTGGTTGTAGTGGGAGTGTTTGTAAGTATGTTTGCATGTGTGTGTGGTCTCTGAGAAGAAAGACCTTTCTTTCTCCCAGTTGTTTCTGAAAGGCCCATTAGAGCAGGGCATAGTCATCGTTTTCCAGTGTGAATTTGCTCTTGCCTCCTTTTAGTAACAACAACTCACTCATTCTCGGCAAGTCACATGGCTGCCAATCAGAAATACAGAAACGCTTCCTGGTAGCTGGATGAGGCCTTGAGACCAAGCTGTCCCCAGTGGAGTAAGAGCAGAAGTAGTGGTGGACCTTTTGAGATGCCTCCTTAAATGCAATTTGTTTCCTCTACACTCTCTCTCTTTCTTCTTCCCATGAGCTGGACCTTGGATGTGTGGTGTGAGCCACCTCTAATCAGAGGATGACAGAGCCACACGGGAAAAGGAAGAAGGAAACAAGAGGCTTGGATGATTTCTTGGAGAGGAGCTATCTACAACCTGGACCACGTGCCTGCCTCTGAAATACCTCAAGAAAGAGAAATAAACTCTTGTTTTGTTCGAGCTGCTATGTTTTTGTTGCTGTTACTGCTTTGTTTGTTTCTTTGTTTTAGTAGTTTACTTTATACCCCAAACAATAACCTACGGGATATAAGAAAAGATTAAGAGTTGACTTGGATCCAGATTACTGAATTTTTGAATCCTGTTATCAACTGGCCACCTACTACCCTTTTAGATCCACAAGTGAATTACATATGTAGATGAGGGTTTGGCCTCAAACTTGGGTCCTTTACTGAGCTTGGATGCATCATGCAAAACAGATGTTACAAACTCAGTCCCCAATAGGGGCCACGAAGGTAAATGCAAAGAAGCAAGCTTACTGGGTAGAGATGGGCACAGTGGAGAACACGTGATCCACCGAAAGGACTGTCATTCAGAAACATGGGTCTCAGTATTTTTGATATTTTTATCTGTTCAAAAGAAAATGCAAATCTAGAGTTTTAGAAAGTGAAATCCATAGATTTTTAATTAATAGGCTAATTTAAAAAAGATTTTTAAAGAGAAAATGCCATGTGCATCAAAGAAAATATTTCTGGAAGACAGGGCCCTGAGCCCTGAGCTAAAAGTTAGTCTGGGATCTAGAATCAAAGCCATGAGGTTTGGTGGACTTTTCTGTCATTCCTTGAGGTCCTAGGCCAAAGCCCTGGCAATCTAATCAGATGAGTATCCTCAAGATAAGCCTATTTCAGCCTAAACGTATATGGGCAGCAAAGAGTTGCAAGCCCAAAACAAGACAGCTTGCTTAATGGCTTGAGTGGACATGGTGGGGCCACTTGATCAAACATTTTTGGGCCCAGCTAGTAGTTCTGGAGCCTATTCTCTTTGCCAGTGGAATCAGTTAAGTTTCCCCAGTTCCTAGCAAAAGAATGACTGCTAATCATTCCAACTTATTGGAATGTTGCAATTAAACAACTGGGAGTTTGGGAAGAACAGGAACCAGTGAAACTCCAGGAATCTTGGTTTTGCCAACAAGTAGACACGACATCAAGTATCTTTTGAGTCTTTGATATCTTAGCTGGAGATCCACGCCCGCAATCAACAACTGCTAAATGGCTCTGAATAAGGGACCAGTCAACTATATTATGATACGCACAATGACTAGGCTGCAGCCATTAGAAAGAGTGTGGTAGATCTGTTTGCCAGACAGAGAAGTGGGGCACCTTGGTCAACAGCCACAGAGTGGGCCAGGGAAGTTCCACAAACAAAAACCAGGAGAAAATATTCCTGGGTAGGCCAAAACAATATAGATAGCCACAATCATAACAGTTTTCATGTGGAGATTTCCTCCTGACACTTCTTGGGAAAGTCATTTTTTTCTGAATCTCATATCCTGAGAAAAATGAGTTTTAGAAGTTAGGAAAATGGGGAAAAGTATTATAATTCTCTGTGGGAATAAAAGATTATTACTCAATGTAAAGACATTACTCTTCAAAGGAATCCAGTGATGTCAAGAAGAAAGCAAGAGCAAGAAAAGCTGACACGCAGAGTTGAAGGTCAAAGTCAACATTTCTGGTAACCAGGATGGGGCAAGGAGAGAAACGGTCACAATGTAATCAGTTTAGCTCGTGTCCATGTTGTAAATATACATTCATGACCCTGTCTGCTGCTAATGGTGAACTCTTCTTACAAATAAAGTAAATGCTAAGGTTAGTCACATGGTAGCCTCTATGCTAAACCTATGAGTGGTGTTCCAAGAAACAACAAAGTTTTGAAAGAAAAATAAGTTCTTAAATTGGCAATTTCTACACACGCTTCTGTGTAGAGCCGTTCATCTTACTAGAATATTAGAATGTTACATAATTTAAAAACCACCCAATAATGTCCCCAGACATTTTCCAGTGTTCGAGTATTCAATCTGGACTCTAGTTCTTTATGAATATTGCTAAACTTATGTATCTTTCTTATTAAACATTTTTTTGGATATTCCTAATGATGAATTTAGTGTATGAAGAATGTTGGAGGTATTTTAATAAGAATTTGTGATTAAATTTGAGGTATTTCTGAGAATTCCAATCTTTTTTCCAATTTTAATGTCTAATGTTAATATGTGTCTGGAGTTTGGAAATTAATTCTACCTGCCACAGGGAAGAAGGATCGTCCAAAGAGAGCGCAGAGCAGGGAAGCAGAGGGAAGGGATGCTGGCGGAGTCTCCCTAAGAGGGAGAGCTGAGGCTTGTCTTTATGCTCTCACAGCCCCGAGAAGCAGACAGAGACTCTCAGGAGAGGAAAGCAAAGGAGAGGCAGATCAGGCTCCTCCTTTAGGGAGGACTGAGGGAGGGACAGGTGTGACTGTGTGTGTGACACGGGAGAGAGCAGGGGGGAAGGAAGAGAGCAGAAATGAGCTCTCTCTAGGGGCCAAGAAAATCCGTCAGAATTCTAACTATTTTTGGAGTGTTTAAGATGGGAGAATTGTCCGAATGTGGCACTGGGAGCTCCATTTGGGCTGACCAGACAAGGAGCAGCTGGACCCGAGGTCCCTCCCTCCCGCACTGAGAGGGGGCGCGCCTGCACATGGTTTCTCATGGGGCCGGCAGACCCCTTCTGCCAGGGAGAGACTGTAGCTTCCCATTGGCCTCAAGGTCTCTAGGGGTATACAGCTGGCACTCTCAGACCACTGCTGTAAACAGTGGCACCACGTTGTGGAATCTATCCCCTAAACTCCAGCGGAGACCCAAAAGAACTCACCTGGTGGGAGAAGGAGTAGAGGAATGAGCGCTTAGAAAGAGATCCATCTCATCAATGACTTAGCTGACCATTCAAAAGACACGCTTAATGAATCTGTGAGGGGCATGAGGCCGCGAGGTAGAGTGAATGTGTGACTATACAGCTGGAATGTTGATGGAATTTGGCAGGCCGGAACAGCGAACACAATCTAGCAATGTCGGATCTCATGGATGAGGGTCAAGTCCTGACCTCGGGTCGAAACACTAACTGTGCAAGTACAAGCAGTGAAGAGACTTCAGAATTTAAATAGACAGGAAACTCAGTCTGAGTGAATAGTGGACAGGGCTGTTGAAAACCTAATGTTATATGTGACGAATTAACAATAGCATCGCTTGTGAATTGAATGAGATACCGCACGCAGCGCCAGGAATATATTAAGTGCTCAATAAATGTTAGCTATTATTATTGCTATGGCTACTGTTTGCTATTGTTGACAGGAGTGCGAAAAGCAGAGGGGAGAGGGTTGATGACTGCAAGGTTTCTGGGTTTGCTCTCATCCTCCTGTTTCATCTCTTTTCTTTTCTTCCATGTTCCCCCTTAAATTACTTCAGCGTTGCTGGGATTGATCAAAGAGGAGTCAGGCGCTGAGTGGAGATAGGGGCTGGGACCAGGAGGCAACTTGAAACCCTTCCTGCCTTCCAGGCCCATGTCAGAGCTTTATCTGGCTTGTGGGACTGCATCCTCCCCACAACTGCCAAAGTTCGAACTTAGAGTTTCTCCATTTTCTAGATGGCAAACTGAGGCTCAGAAAGTGACTTCACTGATGTGGTACAGAGCTAACAGGAGGAGGCAGAACTGGCATGTAAACCTACATCGTGACATTCTTCTCTGTGGCTTTATGTGTGTGACTGGGGACCCCACTGTAGCAGCTCCGCTATCTGGGCCTGCAGCAGGGATGGTGGGGGTGGGGGTGGAAATGGGGCTCAGGGGAGGGGTTGGGGGGGTTCTGAGTGGGGAGAGGAGAAGAGGAGGATTACACAAGCCACTTATATGTGTGTATCATATTTCCAAACAATTCAAAATGTTTGTTCCCTTAAGCATCGCTCGACAATAGTATCTTTGCCTTTAGTGCCAGAAAAGTGGTCGGGGTTTGGACTTCTTAATATGCCCACAGCCTCTGATGGGCCAGATAAAGTCCTTCCAATTTTCAGTGACCACCCCCCCCCCCCAACCAAGGAAAACTGAGTTGTGAGATCGGTTGTTAAGTTTGTATTTTCCTTTCTCTTCAACCCAGACAAAACTATCACACTCAATTAAAAAAAAAAGGTTTACAGGAAGGAAAAATCTCTTCCTTTGAGATAAAAATAGCATCTGCTTCTTCTGAGAGCGAGTCAGCAGCTGCAGGAAATTATTTATATCTTATCTCTGACCCTTTTCTAAGTTCGCTGGTCACTTTTCTGTTTAATTACTTTTGCCATTATGATTTAAAACGCTCACCATTTTAGTATTCATTACTTCAGTCGCACCTGCATGCACAGATTTTTTTGCTCAGCTTTCAAGTTTAGCCAAGTTACACCAAATAGCAATTTTAGGAGCCCTTCACCCCCTTCTAAACCCTTTACCCTGAAAACAATAGCTATAATTTTAGAAGAAAAAAAGTTCCCAAATAGTGAGTGACTTCACTTAGATTGCAAAATTTCAACAAATTCTTTGGGTTTGAATTAAGCTATCGGTTTCCAAAACCATGTAGGAAAAACAATCAAGTCTTGGGGGCTGTCTTTGTTTTCTCTTCAAATGTTATATTTTGAAGTAAATTATATTTTGAGGGGCATGGGGAAGAATACATATTTAAAATGTGATTTTTTTTCATTTACAGAAAAACTTTCTGGTACCCAGTGGACTCAGGGTAGGCAGGAACCTTATTATTAACTAAAATTTGAGAACTCTGTAGTATGGTAACTTTGAAGTGCCTCTTTGTTGTGGTTTGAAGTCTAGGATGGGAGCAAAAGCTGTCACGAACCTTGGGAAATTACTTAAGTTTTCCTGCATTTGTTCCTCACCAATATAAGAAACTGCTCTCTTCAGCATGGGGAGTAGTGAAGCATGCTTTAAGGACAGGATAGTTTTTCTATCCTTTTGAATTCTTTTATCCTTGGGAAGAAGGAAAAGGCTTCTAAACAGAACTTTGTCTCCTTATCTTTGGTGATCAAAAAGTATTGATGCCGGGAGAAAACAGGCCAGGAGAGATGACAAACAGAAAGAGAAATCGGCAACAGTCCACCTCTCACCATCAGCACACTCAGATCAGAAGACTCACAATTATTTATGAGGTGGCCAAGTTGTGAGTTATTAACTGTAGGGTAATGAGGCTGCTGGTGATAGGATTTCATTAGTGCCATGTTTGTGTTAGCAAAGATTTGCTCTCACACTACATTGAGTGAACATTTAACAGAACTCTACCAAAGTATTTTTGTCA